AAATAGACTAATTACTGAAGTTCTGTGGCATGCCAAAAAAAATGTGTTTTTTGCCAATCTTACAAATATATAGGTGCTGGTATAATTTTGACTCATTCACACTAGATGGCTATTGTTGCGTGGGCTGTTGTCATTTTTTTATTTGACAATCTAAGGAAAAATGGTCAGTACGCCTTGACTAAACAGTCAGGTATTCATGTTTTAAAAATTCTTGCAGTGCACTGGTTGAAATCGCTGGTTTAATGGATGGCCTACTATAGGCTAGTTTAAAAAAAGTATAAAGATACTATTCTTGTCTTCAATTAGCTTGTATTTTACTAGAGGCCTGGTGCATGAATTCATGCATGGGTTGGGTCCCTTGGGGTGGCCTGTGGGGATCGGGTGGAAACCCACAGTCCAACGCCGCCTGCAGCTCCTGCCTGCTGGTCCCACTCATTCCGGCCCGTTGCGCCTGCTGCAGGCTCCCTCTCAGTCAGTCTCGATCGGGAGAGGCTTGCACTGCCACAGCGGTGCTCACCAGCCATGAGCCCTACATCTGACGCCGGTCCCGAGGGGGGTTGGGAGGGCCAGGATGCATTAGACCCTCCGGGTGTGGTAGGACACCTTTGCCGGCCTGGGATCCAGATTCGTCCTGCTGACATTTGCACTGGTTGTCAGGAGCCACCTGGCAGCTGCTTTTACTATATACCGTTTCTTCCTTGCTGAGTCTAGGGAGGGGAAGTGGCCGCAGTGCCCGAGGCCGACTTCCTAGAGGTCAGCAGTGCTGTCAGGATCATGCTGGTGGCGCAGGTCCATCGGTGCCTGGCCCGTTTTCCAGAGATTGGACCTATAGAACTACTGAGGGAGTCAGTGGCTGCCGCCCAGCTGGTGGACCACTGAGATGGGTTCGGGATGGGTCGGTCAGCTGAGCGGCGCTCCCACTGTTGGAGTGCACTGATCACCAGGGGGCAGCTCCTGCATTGAGCGTCTGCTCCCTGGTGGTCAGTGCGCATCATAGCGACCGGTCGTTCAGTAGCTTGAGCTTTTATATATATATAGATTTGGGGGGAAAGCATCCAAATATGTAAAATAATAAATAGTACACATAACATTTCAGTCCAAAACTAAGAGAAGGCTACAAATTAATAACAGGAATTCTAAGTGTCATAAGAATTCAGTAGGGAGAAAAATCGTCTCTGTGGGTTGACAATATGCTTCTGATCACAGGCATCTGAGTTAAAAAAAAAAAAAAAAAGCTGCGTTCTGTTATTTACTGTAATTCTACCAAGTTATTACTTCACCTCTCTAAACCTCGATTTTCACCATCAATAAAATGGGAATAATTTTAGCCCATAAGATAATTTTAGCCCATAATATCTAGCCCATAAGATGATTATACGAAACTGATACATTTTATATGAAAGGATTTTGTAATCTGTAGAGAAGCTATAAAATTACCGTTGCAAAGGTGGTAAACAGAATCACACCAAATTACTATTAATTTGGGAGAACAGAAGGTGGAGGGGAAAATAATGAACTTTTTCTTAACCTACTTACTATTGTTTGAAAGTTTAAGGCCCAGGCACTAATCTTGTAACAAAACATTTAAAGCAATATAAATACTATCTGAAGTGTGCATAAATGGATGTCACAGAACACCCTAATTGTAAACACTAATAACCCTGTTTCTTTATAAGTACTTAGAAACAAGTCTCCACCTGGTTTCAATTTGAGAATTTCTAAAGTCACAAAATTTTGCCAAGCTTGGGAATAATAACCAACTGAAACCCGTTTATTTTCCAAGACATTTTAAAACAGAGCAAGTTTGTAGTCAACCAAAACCATCCATTGATGCAAACAATCAGTTTGGTCAATACCTTTTAAAATAAGTTAAATAATAACATCAGTTTTCAGAGGCAAGTCTTTGTCATCGCTAACTTTGCTTTCTAGAGCCCATCATATTTAACTGATAACTTTACAGACCTGGAAAAGCCCTCAGGCCATTTCCAAAGGAATGCCAAGAACTTTCCATAGAGGCAAGGCAACGTTTTAGATTAAACATGATCACAGATTAGCATTCCTAACACCATAAGTAAGTGTGAGCTCTTTGAGGGCAGGAATCATACCTCCTTAAACATTATTTATTTTTTGAATCCTCACCCGAGGATACTCTTTTCACTGATTTTCCAGACGGAGCGGAATGGAGGGAGGAGGAGAGGGGAGAGAGAGATATTGATGTGAGAGAGACATGACCGGCCGTCCTGTATGCACCCTGACCAGGGGTGGGGAGTGAACCCATAACCGAGGTACATGCCCTTGACTGGGAATCAAACCTGAGACCCATCCGTCCATGGGCCGACGCTCTAACCACCGAGTAAAACCAGCTGGCCAGGACATATCTTCTTAAATGTGATATGCCCAGTTCCTGGCACTGCGACTAGCACATGAGTAGGAAACAGGAATAAATACTAGTTGAACTATTTGGAGGAAAGATAAATTTAAAACACTCTACTCAACTGCATACCCAGTGAGACAGGCTCATATGCTAAGGGGACACAATCTTTATCCTTTTGTTTCTGTAGAAAAATCTCTTACAATGCTTCAAAAGGAGGAAGGATTTAAGTTTTGAGTTCCTCGAATAAAACATTATAAAAACCCCTATTTGAGAAAGGGATCTCTTCCCTATTTGAGAAAATACAGATGTGTGAACCAAGATGAAATCATGGAGCAGTCTGATCAGAACCACCTTTCATCTGCCTTACCCAAAATTTCCAAGGCATGTTTCATCGATATAAATAGCCGAGGGCAGAGGAAAGGGCTTCCGCTATGGTGGCAGAATCAAGCCCACACCTGGGAAGCCGGGGCTCCTGGCCGACTACTGTCCCTCTGGCTCGTGGCTCCTCTAGGATGACTTGTGAAGAAACAAGACACTAAAAAAGGATGGAATTGGTATCCACATGTAATAGGACTACTCTGTTGTGTGTATGTACTCACATTTGCCTGTTTCCAGCATTCTCTAAGGAGTTGAGGCATGCTGGGCCTGCTCAAGCACTAGGCCCTGAAGACACAAGTATGGAAGCTGAAGAGCAGGGACACGAGGTAATGCTTCTGATTTCCATGGATGATTTCCATCTCTCTGTGAATGATGTACCTGAGGCTAATCTCCCCATTCCATCTTAAACTGCTGGATAATTCATTTGTGTCTTTTTTTTTTTTTTAAATATATTTTATTGATTTTCCACAGAGAGGAAAGGAGAGAGACAGAGAGTTAGAAACATCGATCAGCTGCCTCCTGCACATCTCCCACTGGGGATGTGCCCGCAACCCAGGTACATGCCCTTGACCGGAATCGAACCTGGGACCCTTCAGTCCGCAGGCCAACGCTCTATCCACTGAGCCAAACCGGTTTTGGCAATTCATTTGTATCTTATTTCATCTTCCTCCCAAGGTAAACGGGGCTTGTAATAACTTTTGAAGTCTTTCATGATACGTTCATTCAAGAAAAGACATTTCGGGAAAAGCAAGTGCTTAAAGACAGTTCTCCCTTGAAGCTTTTTGAAATATTCAGCCCAGAGTACTTAAAGAGAGGTACTACTTTTCTGCTTCTAAAAAGGACTGCAGAAGGCCAGTAGAAATGAATCGCTTTGGCTGTGATTGTTTAGAAAACACTAAGTCTCTTAGTTGGGCTACTCAAATTAAATGTGGAAGCTACCTAGGAATTTTCTCACATTTTGATCTTGGGAAGGGCAATTAATCAAGGTCACATTTGAGGACCTCTAACTTGAGTCAGAACTCTATGATGGGAGAGTCAGATCTGTACACTCGAAATAGTCACCAGTATATATAATTGAAAACAGAAAGGACAGGAGAAGAAAAGGAGATGCCTGTGGGCTGATACGTTATAACCTTTGGTCAAGCGGTACTTGGCAAATTTCAACAGATTTAGTCAAGCAGAGATAAAACTAGCAGCAGAACACCATGAGAACAAAACAAAAAGTGATCACACAGAATTGGGGATGACCAGTGAAAAACAACGCTGGACCTCATAGCATGAATCTACCAAAGGCAGTCTGGTGGGATCCTGGAGTCATTATTTCATGGTGGAGGCTGGCAATCCTAACTTTCCAGTTTCTTTAGGTCAAGCTATAGCATAGCGTTCAGAGCAGCAGCCAATGTCACCGAGGGAAAGGAGGAAGGCCACATGTGGAACTAATTACTCATGGAGAGGCCATGACAAAGAACATTTCTCCAGACTTTTCATGGGGGCTTCACTTTCAGGAAGTTGCTATAATTACTGTTCAAGTCTAGAGCAGCCTGCAAGCCGCTGACAGATCCAGCAGACAAGGAGGAGGAGGAAGAGGAGGAGGAGGAAGAGGAGGAGGAGGAAGAGGAGGAGGAGGAGGAGGAGGAGGAGGAGGAGGAGGGACAAAGAGAGAGAAGGGGAAAAAATGAACTTATCTGCCCTTTTTGATGAGTGAAACACCAAAAAATAAAGTACCGCAGGAAAGTACACACACACACACACACACACACACACACACACCAAAAAAAAAAAAAAGGTTTCCTAAGGAGTCCTGACTTCCAGCGGCTCCGCGTTCTGTTTACTTTCTTATCTACCCTGTGTCTTCAAGTGACTTTCTAGCCCAGATCAGACAGCAAATTTGTCCTTCTCCGCTGACTCCCTTTCAGTTGGCCACAGCAGAACTGTACATCTCAACTCTTTTTTTACAGCTTTTCCATACTGGGGCCCACTTCCTGCCCAGTTGAGGGAAAAAATCTGGCCTGAAGATGAAATGACTGTTTAACATTACACCAGAACATCTGGTACCATTTTACGCACAGACCCATGTCTGAGAGCAGGCGATTCTAGCGGTCTCTCCAGCGGCACAGCGCATACCCAAACCTCCCCAGGGTGACATCATCCCATATATGGACTCTCCAGCCCAGCCCTCCCCCTTTTCCTGGTCCTAAATTCATTGCCAGTTCCCCAGTCTGCAGCAAATGTGCCACGTCAAGACTGAAAATCACAGCACTGGAGTGGGGCTCAGTCAGTGCAGCAGGCTCCAGGGGGGAGAGCCGAATGCAACTGTTCCCAGGGACTGAGAGAGGATTTTAAGGGCCCAGATGGAAGCTTCTGGAGCTCCTGCCCCGTCGGCCCAGTGTTCAGACTACCTGTTCAGGACAATGCCGTTGTACAGTAGTCTGCACATTGGTTAGACTGGGCAAGGCACAGCAACGCCCTGGACGGCTGGGACACGAGTGGCTGTTTCCGAGGAGAGGATGTTTGTTGGCTCCTCTTTCGTATCTCATATCCAGTGTTTTTCTTCACAGGTTTTGCACAGTAGGGACCAAGAAGCTCTCGGGGACACCGCTGGGAAAAGACTGCTCCAGGGAAGACCTGCGGGTAAGGCCCTCTTGCCGCTCACCTGGGCTGTGACCGGGAGAGCTGAGGTGGGAGCCCGTGATTTGTGTCACATGCGAGGAGAAACAGGCATTTGTGTGGCCAAGAGCTATGCATTTATTGTAAAAGGGCAGCGGGGTGCGGTACATAGTGATTTACTATAAGTCACTCGCTTTCTGAAGATTTATAAGTATTTTCTTAAGCTTAAAGATTTTTCCACTTCAATATGAAATACGAAGGCTCCAAACACTAAAAAGAATTGAATAAGGCTAGTTTTCAATGGGTAAAAGGAATAATTCAGAGACCTAAAAACCTGTTGAATGAGGGCTGTGCTATCACTTGAATATCCTAGAATTGGTTCCATTTTGCCCCAAAGTAAAGAATATTTGCAATGTTTAAAATGCTCTATGGATAGTGCTTTTCTGAAATTTTACTTATATAAGACAAATACCGAAAATAACAGGATCTAACAATAAAGGAGTAGGCTGCCAAGTTTTTTGCCCACCAGACCACGCAGATGGAACTTGCCCAGAAAAGAGCGCCAACCCAGAACTATTGAGTCAGCAACTGAATAAACCGGGAAATAGAAACCTCTGTCTTCAGCTATCCCAATATATAGCCCTGGGGTTTTTTTGTTGTTGTTTTTAAAATCCAAGAATGGTTGATAATTGCTGGTCAGCTGAGCCCTCATGCCTAGGTTTTACAATGTGTCTATGTCTCCGAGCATTTAAAATGATAAGGTACTTTGTCTAGAAAGCCACTGATAAAGAAGGAATTTGTAAACGAAGGCAAAGTTTTTGTTGGTCAGTTTCCAGCTGTCCTGGAGGTGAAGGAGGGAGGGAGGGGGGAGAAGGTGGGAGGAAGGAAAACTGAATGAAATCCCAACAGAGAGAATAATACAGAAAGTCTGGGCTGCAATATGATCCACACTGAATTTCAGAGGTGGGTCCCTTAAGGAAAGTTCTGGAAAAATGGTACTGCCTCACCCCTAATTCCCTCAACCCCCTATTTATAGATACCCCCAAACAATTCTATATAATGAAAAATCTGTTCTATAGACTTAATCTGAAACATTAATATAATCTCTTTTGTCCTCCCTTAAATTCTTTAAAGTTACAGTGGTTCCTGAACAAATCCTTTTCTAAGTTATATATTTTGCAACAATTCAAAAACTGTCACACATTCTCCTTTGCATAAGTTTATTATAAAAGGTTCCCCACGTTATCTTTTGTCAAAATGATTTATTTTAAAATTTACCCTTTTGATCATCCTAAAACTGGTATAAAAAAAACACGTTTTCTCTTCTATTCATGGTTTTGAGTTAAAATATTATAAAAAGGGAGAAATTTAGCTATCTTCTCCACTTAGAGGATACAATTTGTTTTCTATTGTGACTTGGAGGATTCCATATTAATTATTTTTCATTGAACAAATGAGATTTTTTTCAATTTATATAGTTTCTTTTACATAGGAAAACTGAAAAGAGAAACTAGGAGATAACTTACCAGAGCTTATTTTTTTTTCAAGAAATGTATTTCTACTAATTTATACAGTTAGAAAAGAAGATAGTTATAGGGTACTTTGGTAATGTTTAAGATGTCTCAAATTTTGAGGGGTTTTTTGGTGTGTGTTTTTGTGTTGTTTTTTTACTCTGTAGAAATGATTGGATTTTATAACTTACTTTCATTTCTTGTATATTTAATTTAAATGTATTTTTTATTATTATTAAATGGCTTTTTTATTTCAAAGAAACTAACTATAATCAGCCCCTCACCTACTTCTTCTCTTAAGATGACTTTTAGTTTGCAGACGGAGGGTGTCCTTGCGTAAGTACAGGAGTAGAAACAGAAGAACAAATTTGTATGGGGGGAGCCGAGGAGCCCCTACGTGTGCTTGGAGTCCTGATTACCCATTTTTTATGCCAACTTTCAACAAATGAAAAGGAATAATACTTATTTTTTAACTGGCCTGAGCTCAATGCAAGATCAAAAAAGCAAAAGCTCACTCTGTAAACCTCTGCTCACTGAAGGCAGGTGGTCGATTGTGCGCTGGGACATACACCAGCATGTATGCACACTTAGTGTAAACTAACTTTATTTCCAGGGTAGAATAATGCTTAATTTTATTTTGATATTACTTTGTAAGGAGACATACAAATATTTTAGGGATCATGGGATCTATTCCAGAGAAAATTAACCAACAGTGATCATCTTCGACTAAAACTGCTCGCGGATAAAATGGGAAGTGTAAGTATCAAAATTAAACACTGTATATCATAAGAAAGAGAAAATTGTTTGCAGAGCCTATCCAAAGGGCACTTCACAGAAACTTAGCAGTTATTTTTCATTTCAGTGTGTGGATGATTGATAAGTTAGACTAGGTTTGGGGTTAGAGAATTTTTTCTGCCATCTAAGAGAAAGGAAATTCAGAGCTTTAGCTTTCAACACATTTTCTTAATTGGGAGAGGATCAATAGAAAACAGTTTATTTACATTTTCAAGCCCCCACCCCCCTTTTTTTAAACCATAGATCTCCAAATCCAAGGTTTGTTTACAATGGGACAAAATTTCACACCGATCACTTTCCTGCAATTAGTGAATAGATTTAATGCCCTTCCTGCTTGGCTTTCAGGCTTTCCACCAGATAATGTGTTTATGTTTTTGAAAGACCAAAATATACTATCTCCCCCACCTCTCGCCTACAGACCACCCAAGTTTTTCGCTGTGGGAAAGAGTGTAGGCATAAAATTCCTACTGATAGCATTTTTTCTTTTTTCTCGTTGAAGTCGTAAAGCTGTTATAGGAAATAAAGTAAAATACAACTTGGTAATGTAAAAAGTCCACTGATCCACCAGATACCAGCGTCATCCTTAGTAAAGAAAGAAGCCAAAGCTTTCAGCTCCTCGACGAGAGATCTGCTGTTTAAAAACAACCCACTTTCCTCTTCTCTAAAGAGAATATCCCACCCATGACAATAATGTCCAAATACATAAAAGACCATCACTCAGAAATCCCAGCTTAAAATAACTAAAGGTCAGGCTTACCCTGAGAGGAAACAGAAATTTCTGAGTAAAGATAAACTTCCTTACTTGCTTTCTTCTACCTTTTTACCTGGGTTTGCTGCTAATTGTGTAGACAGAAATAATTATCCATTTTTTGAAGAATTTTTATCAGTTTTAATTAATAGAAATAATGAAGTCAATTAAAGAAAATAATTAAATCTTCATTTTGAATTTCCTGACTTACAACAGCCAGTTTCCTGGAGTTGCTTTGGTTTAATGTTGCTATTAAAGACTTGGAACATAATTATTTTCATGCATTTTTTTCTTAATAAATGAAAGACAAAAAAAGAACTAAAGAGTAGTGACCTTATTAAAAATTACACTGTATGATAATAATGTACATATAGTTCTTTCATATTTTAGCTATTATGTTAAGTGATAACAAATTTTAATGTTTATAGTTTGGAAGACAGAAAAACAATCTTAATTGTCTTTTCAAACTTTCATCTATTTAACATGGCTGTGAGGTATGCAGATGCCACATACTTACTATAAGTGTGCTTTAAAAATCTATTAGAAAAATAAATTATCCCAAAGTCTTAAGAGCAAACATTTTTCAGCAAGATTTCCCCACCCTGAAAAACAGTTATGGATTTCAGGGCCTGATATTTTGGGGTATCTTGGTTTACTAGAATTGTTTCACATTAAAAGAGAACATAAGAACTCACAAATTTTTCTTTCTATTTTTCCAGGTTACATCATTCCTTAATTGAGCAGAGTTAACTGGATCAAAGTATTTATGGGAGAGAGAGGGAAAGCTATACCGAATTACAGTAATTTTTAATTTCTACAAATATGCTCTTTGTAAGTGAATCACTCTATAAATATTTTCTGTTGCACTGAATGCAGCAACGATAACAAAATAGTTGCTTGAGGTATTTGTTTTCCCATACTCTGACCTTGTAATTATTTAATGGCAGCCAAGTTCACTGATGTTTTTGATTTTCTCAAGAAAAAACACACAAAAGTCCTCTACTCAAAAGTGATGACCAGAAACAGAATCAGACATTTATTTTCTTGGAATTAAATAAATGGAAACTTGCACTTCTCAACTCTTTGTTAAAGCTGTAGCACATCTAATCATTGCATAAAGGTTAAGCTGTGTACAAAACTCATTTTTTCATAGCCTCTAAAAATTATTTTGTTCTCCATAAAGTTTCTATCTGCTATTTTTCTCAGAATTTTACAGTGAACAGGAAATATACTATTTATTTTCTTTAAAATTCTTTGAAAAAAATCCTAATTACATATTCCTTGGACAATAATGTTTTTTTGTTGTTGTTTTAGGAAATCCCACTTATTGTAATTCTGACTATCTGGTGATTTTGTTGTTTAAAGGGCAGGGTATGAATTGATCATTTATTTTAAAAGAGCCAGTAGAGTTATTTTTGACTCACCAGAATTAAATTTTCTATCTGTATATTTAACACCACCACTCTTTCTCTCATACGAGTTATAAGGAAATTTCCAAAGGGCCTGGTTTTACTTTTTGGATATGAAATGAAGTTTCATTTTTTTGTGTTTAAGGGGCTGTTTTGTAACTGTCGTGCACTAACAAGGACCAAAACACAATCTGAGTGAGCAACTCTGTGGCCAACAGCTGTGTAGTTTATACCCTTTTGATTCATGGCAGGGCACTATGATTAATGAAGCGGAGGACTTAAGTTCACAACTGCTTTTGATTTGGTTTTCACATCCATACTTAAAAACTGCATTAAAAAGAATATGAGAAATTTAAATAAGTTCCTGTTTTAATAACATATTGGTAAAAATACAACCCATGTTAAAATCCCAAAGGTCGGCTGGTTGAACTGCCAGATACATCAGGCTCATTAATTATTTTTAAAATGGCTGCCATTTCCATGTAAATGATAAGTTTCTTTTTCATGGGGAAGGTTATGGTACTTATCTACTACAACAAACATGTATAAACATGTCTTTATCTTTAACTTCAGTATTAAAATATGCAGAGTTTGGGGAAGAGGAAAAACATCTGGTTCAATTACTCTGAACTCTGACTGCATTATGGGCCAGTAATAACATGAACTGGAGTTAAGAATAAACCTGGTGTTTAATCTTTTTTTGTTTGTTTGGTTTTGCCTTAAAATTTCAATATGAGTTTTCTGTCAAGTCAATGATCCATGTTAGCACATGGGGAACAAATGTATAAGTGTACTTTCTGAATAAAGTCGAACGTCTAACTTGTTTTTAGTTCCATAATGTTTTAATGTTTAATTCTATTGTGTGTTTTTCTCCCTTTCCCCCTGACCCTCCAAATTCACCAAATCTGGAAAACAGACTGACTGTTTCTGCCCATGAGCAAAGGAAACCTGAAGGAACCAAGGGCCTGGCTGGACGGAGTTGTCATGTGTCTGCCTGTCTACACTTGCTGTGCAGAACATCCGCTCACCTGTACAGCAGGCACAACCCAGCCTGAATGACAACCAGCCATTGAAAGAAAGCAGCCCTCACACCATAGCATCTACACCAAGAGCTACAACCAAAATGAGGGGCTCGGGGGGAAGGCCTGGGTTTTTCATCTGTTGGTTTAATACTTAACTCGTATGTATTATTATTATTATTATTATTATTATTATTAATTATTATTATTCTCTTTTGATTCAAATATTGAAACCCACCAAAAGTAAAGTGAGTAGTGCCTATGAAATATAATAAAACCCATTTCTGAAAATGCTCCTGTGCTCTCTATAGTTCTCTTTTCCTAACTGTTGTCAGTAAATTACTGCCCTTGACATTAATTGCACACAGCTTTGCAGCACCCTGTGATCAATATAACAAAACACAGAACTGCAAGTCTGATGCTGGACAAAGAATAAATGATTCTAATAATTCTACTCCAAAAACAAAGTTTCGTTTTCTATATCATGACTTTTTAAGAGTGAGGGACAAAAGAAAAAGAGGGAAGAAAAAATATCCCAGGGGATCATGTATCTTGAGTTAAATTTAACCAGTTTGTACCTGGGTGGAACATAATGAAAAAAGTATTTGTTTGCAATGTAATTTTCAAATGTATTAAAATAGTTGCTTCTCCTTTTGGAAAGTATATAAAGTTAACATTGAATCTCTGACATGCCTAAGTGTCACAATATGCATAGATTTATTACTGTGACATTGTTTAATTAAGAAGGAGCTTACACTATAGTTCCAAGGGTGGAGTGCATGAGGCTGGTGCACGCCCTTGGAATACACGCTCCCATTCACTGTAAACTCCCAAACTCTCGAGATATTCAGGCAATTCCATTATTGTCAAAAAAAAAAAAAAAGCAAGGACGCGGATTAATGGATATACAATGTATATTTTGCCTCATCTTTTGAGGAAATGTCAAAATGTCAGTTTACACCCTGTGAACTGGAGTCAAATGATGAGGGTAAAAAGTGGGGAGATGGGTAAAATTAGAAATTTGTCTGTTTTGATTTGTTTCACTAAAATGCTTTAACTTCAGTATTTAAAATTAATTTTCATTTTTCCTAGAAAGGTTCTGGTCAAGCTCTAGAAAAAGTGTAACACAAGGCTACCCCAAATTTTTTTGGTTTTAATCTAATTAAACATTTTAAGCATATATTTTGGATGAAAGCAAACTTTTTATTCAGTATTTCATTTTTAAAATGAAATATTTAGTCTTAAGGCTAAAAACCCCACGAGGTTCAAAATTTCTACAATTTCATATTTTACCAATCCTGACACTATAGCTTCATTTTTTTAAAAAAAAAAATTTGGGTAAAATTATAAAGTAAATATACGATTAAGGCTAAATTCTTTCATTTAACAATCTGGCCTAAGCAAAGATGTCCTCTGCAAAATACGTTGTGCCAAGAGAGTTTTTACCTTATAGAAAAGTCCCAGGACAAGAATATAAAGTATTAAATAAGAGTTCAAAAAATGTAAAAAATAAACAGGAAGGCAATATCAAAATTTCTCAGAGAATATTTGCATAGTACCACCCAATTTGAAATTCCTTCTATAACCTGCAGCAAAATGCTGACAGGAGTCCACCCATGGATCATTCTCTGGGACCCGCAAGGCAGGCCCCAGGCATGCGTGAGGCTCTCCAAATGACACGTAGCTCGGTCAGAACATAAAGGAGACTGTTCCATTCCACCCGACTCCAAAGGGAGAGCTAGGAGGCCAGCAGAGTCATCCTTATGTGAGTCACTAAGGATAACATTAAAATAACCTCATGCCTAACATCTTGGTTTTACATTTTTTATATGGCTCTCAAAAAAATATGCTTGAAAGAATGCTATTTATATTTAAGTTCATTATATGAGGCACATTTGAAAATGTTACTTTTCTGGAAAAGGATCATATGAAAGTTAATACTCTTCTTCCAGTACACACTTTCAAGTTAGGACAAATAACACATTTAGGGGAGCGGTCTGAGTCTATACATATTTTAATAAATCTGAAATAGCATCTGCCATTATGCTTTGTTGAATACTACTATATTTTTTTAAAATTATAAATATTTAGATAATGCCAGAACTTGGAAATGTTTATATGAAATAATCCTACATTTAACAGCCTAACATAATATAGCTTATGTATGTGAAAAAACACACATAACTATGATCATGAAGAATTTCAAGTAATGTAAATGTTGTAAAGTTCAATATTTGTTGGGACTGTTTTTTTGGTAAAAAGATATCTAAGTTTTGGCTAACTCAAACAACGCAGCGAGGATCGTGAATAGTGTTCACAGGGTTATTCTTGACCTCCTCATCACAGGCAGCACGCAGACCTGGCAGAAAAGGCAGGGTCTTGATCATATACGTGAAAATGGAAAGACATGAAGATTTCTATAACTTCTTGGCCTCACAGCTTTGGCCATCCAGGGATATAGCTGTCATTTTATTTCCTATTACCGAAGTTACATTTGTCATCTGTTACAGCTACATAATAAAAACAATACTAAGTAAATATCCCTATAAGGGAATTATATAATCTCCTTATCAAGCTATCCAAACACTTCAACCCACAAAAATGAGGCCTGTAATTTTTTGAGTCCGAAGAATGTTCTTATTTTAATGCAGATTTTGGCCTTTATTCAACAGTGTATGGTTAGTATATTTCCACTGGAAACACTTCTGTCAATTTACCCTACTTCCCTATGAGTATTCCATTATGATTTTAAACTTCATGTTGGACTATAGAAATTGAATAAATATTGGCTATGTGCTATTATTATTCATAAAGTAGTCCCCTTCAGATATTTTTAACTATCATTTACACATTTCTCATTGATATTTAAAAATAATGTTCTTTTCTTCTTCATTCAGAATTTCTTATTCTTCCAAAATTCGTATTTTAGATGCATTTTTAAAAATTCAGTTTTTTCCCAAATCTAATTTTAAAGTATTCATGTAAACTATCATAACCCAAAATCCTTTTGATGTGACAGTTTCTATTTTATCCCCATACCTTGCCCTTTTCTAAATTCCTCCCTAGAATTGTGCAGATATACCGGTATCTATGATGTATGAAAGCAACACTGTCAAATTTGTTTTCTGCTTAAATGGTCATCCATCCAGGAAGCCATACAGTCAGAGGAAGAAAAAAAAATTCATTAACCTTCAATAATGAAAATTAAGAAAATTACCTCTCATGGTAATTTTACTCTGTATTTCAATTATTTAGTTAAGGCACTTGAGATAGCAGAACGTGGTGAATTATTGTGCTGCACTTCTTTATTTATTTGCTCAATCACATGTTCACAATTGATATTTACTTAGGGCCACCTATCAGTGTCATACCCCCTGGTGGTAGAACAGTGAACAAGACAATGGCTCCTGGTCTTAGGAGGCTTACAGGTTAGCAGGAACTTAAACACTTATCCAATACTTAGCACATGTGACGAGTTGTCACATCAATGTCACCTTCTGAAAAAAATCTCTTAAATCCATCATTTCTATCAATTTCCATCAACCTACCCCAGTCCAAGCCACCATGATCTTTTATGGAGACCAGAACAATAGCTTTCTAGTAATTCCCCAATCCAGTTTTGTCCTCCTCCAACATATTCTTTACAAGGCAACCAAAAGGGTCTATAAAAAATTCAAATAATGCTATGAGACTCTCCAGCTTTCAAACTTCAAAGGCTTCTCATAATTTTCAGGATCAAAATCCTTAATCTTTAAAGGACTCTATTTTATAGAGTCCTTTTCTCTCTTTGTTCCAGTCACACTGGACTTAACTCAGTTTCTTCAATTCATCAAGCTCCATCTTGCCTCAAAGTATCAACACAAACCTTCTCTGACCACACAATTGAAGGTCTTCCCCACTGGGACCCCCCAGCACCGGATATATTTTCTGCATAGGTCAGTGATGGTGAACCTATGACACTGACACGCGAACTCATTTTTTTGGTTGATTTTTCTTTGTTAAATGGCATTTAAATATATAAAATAAATATCAAAAATATAAATCTTGCCGAAACCGGTTTGGCTCAGTGGATAGAGCGTCGGCCTGCGGACTGAAAGGTCCCAGGTTCGATTCCGGTCAAGGGCATGTACCTGGGTTGCGGGCACATCCCCAGTGGGAGATGTGCAGGAGGCAGCTGATCGATGTTTCTCTCCCATCGATGTTTCTAACTATCTATCTCTCTCCCTTCCTCTCTGTAAAAAATCAATAAAATATATTTAAAAAAAATATAAATCTTTGTTTTACTATGGTTGCAAATATCAAAAAATTTCTATATGTGACAGGGCACCAGAGTTAAGTTAGGGTTTTTCAAAATGCTGACACGCCGAGCTCAAAAGGTTCGCCATCACTGGCACAGGTTGTCATCTGCTTCTGTTTTCCTATTTGTTTATGTGTTTTCTTTTTAGGGAAAATCCTTCATGAGGGCAGGTACCATGAATTCCTTGCTAACCATCTGTACATTGTGATTAGGAGAGTGTCTAGTCCATAACGGCTGTTCAGAAAATATTTGTTGGGAAGTGTTCAGGTAACTAAGAGCACACACTGACTTTTAGCTGTGGGCTAAGCTCTTCATTCTCTTTGAGTCTCAATCTTCATTTCCAATATGGAGAATGTAAATAAAGTACTAACTTAGCTCAATGCCTGGTAAACTATGAATACTCAATAAATATTCGTCATTTTGAGGATGGTGATCATCATCAATTATCACTCAGATTGAAAGCTGACCTGCAAGAGTTTAAGCAGGTAGAATGAATAGCAGAGATACTATTGACAACCACAA